CTAAACAATTAAAAAGTGAAAGTTTTTTTTTGCCAGCAAATAGAGCCACTTTAGATTTCATTAAGATCGTTATTGTAGATAAGAAATAATACAGGAGCAAAAATAGAAAAATACTTGAAAAATAAACTTTTATTATACATTCCTTCTCGTTTAAAATTAAAAAAATGTTTGGCTTAAATTTATTTAGTTGATTTTTAACCTAAATTAAGTTTTTATTTAAACTTTTGTTAAAAAAAATATTTTTTAACAAAATTTTTTGTTATTTTAACTATAAATAAATAATATTAAACTTGTCTAACAATGTTAATTCAATTTATTCGAACTTTTATTCGAACTTTTATTCGAACTACAACTAAAATAGTTTTTTGATTTAAAGGATGAAATCTAATTTTTTTTATTTATACACCACCAGTTCGACCATCGGTTTGACCACCGGTCAAAAGTCTTTGATGGCTATTTAAAAATGCTTATATATATATATATATATATATATATATATATATATATATATATATATATATATATATATATATATATATATATATATATATATATATATATATATATATATATATATATATATATATATATATAAATGCTCACAATATCTAAATCCTTAGTAACACTATCAATACACAAACACAAAATAAAAACACCACGATCACCACGTTTGACAGGTTAAATACATATCACCACATTTAAACAAATGTGGTGATCTGTGTGACAGTCTTACAAATCAATTACAGTTGAATTTTAGTAATTCGAACTCTTATAATTCGAAAGTTCATTTAAATCAAACAAATTCTTTGGTCCCTCTAGGGTTTAATATTTAGGGTTGCTCTTTTTTACAAAAAAAAAAAAAAATCATCTAGTTTTTAAGTAACATAGATTATAAAAAGTTATTCTCAAGTATGATGCGAAAAAACGAAAAAAACTTATTAAACAAAAATAATTTGAGGTTTAACTTAAATATTAATATTAAACTAAACATTAACATTGTTTAACTTATACTCTTTTTTAAATTTAAATATTAATATACTTTTTTTAATTATTTATTAATTTTTCTTTATTATACTATTTTTACAAGGTAGTGACTTTAATACATCGATTTTATGATGTCATACTAATATTAGTACATATCAATACAGTTGAACCCTTGCATTTCAAACTCTTATAATTTGAAAGATCATTTAAATCAAATAAATTTTCCCCGGAAGTTGAATAAGTGCGATCTTTATAAGTACAAACTCGCATAAGTGCAAAGCAGTTGCAAAAACTGGCATAAGTGCGAATTGGCATAAGCGCCAAAAAAATTTGATAAAATTGGCATAAGTTCGAACTGGCATAAGTTCGAACTGGAATAAATGCAAAAAATTGCAAAAACTTGCATAAGTATAATTGCAAAAACTGGCATAAGTGCAAACTGGCGTAAGTACAAACTGGCATAAGTGCGTATTGGCATGAGTGCGCCAAAAAAATTTGCTTTATTACTCCTATATTACGACTTTAGACGACTTTATTACTACTATATTACGACTGTAGACGACTTTATTACGACTATATTATGACTATAGACGACTTTGTTACGACTATATTACGACTATAGACGACTTTATTACGACTATATTATGACTATAGACGACTTTATTACGACTATATTACGACTATAGATGACTTTATTACGACTATATTACGACTATAGACGACTTTATTACGACTATAGACGACTTTATTATGACTACAGACAACTTTTTTATGACTATATTACGACTATAAACGACTTTATTACTACTGTATTACGATTGTAGACGACTTTATTACTACTATATTTGTTACCACTATATTAAGACTATTTACAGCTGTTAACATAGTTTAATTGTCTTTGTTTAAATTTGAAGTAAACGTGTAAAAACGTGTTGTTTATTTACATGTTATCTAAATTTATTTAAAACTTGAAAAAAATGTAATTTATAATATTTTAAAAATTGAAAATTTTTCAAATTCTCTTTTTTGAAAAAAAATGTCTCTTTTCAAGATTTGGTTTTGTCTTGATCCTTACATGTTTTGTCTTTTCGATACAGTTTGATCAGATATCTTGTTATTACAAATGATAATTACTACAGTAAATTATTAAAATTAACTTGTGGTGTTCCTCAAGGTTCGATTCTTGCTCCTCTTTTGTTCCTAATCTATATAAACGACCTTCCAAAAGTTTCTAGCAAACTTGAATTTATAATGTTTGCAGACGATACAAATTTATTTTACTCTTCGACAAACATCAAGGATCTGTATGATAATGTAAACATAGAACTCCAAAAATTAAATATATGGTTTAAAACAAATAAGTTATCCCTAAACATAGAAAAAACAAAATACATTTTATTTCACTCAAGCCAACAAAGAAACACACTACCAAATATTCTACCCTCTCTAAAAATAGAAAATATATTAATTGAGAGAACTCACGAAACTAAATTTTTAGGAGTTATAATTGATGAAAATTTATCTTGGAAAAGTCACATAAATGCTTTAAACACTAAAATATCAAAAAACATAGGTCTACTTTATAAAGCAAAACCTATGCTGTCGCAAAGTAATTTAAAACTTATATATTTCTCTTTTATAAATAGCTACATCATATATGCGAATATAGCTTGGGCGAGTACGCATATAACCAAATTGAAAACTTTATATCGACGTCAGAAACATGCTGTTGGACTAATCTACCATAAAGACAAATTTACACACACTGAACCCTTATTTAAAGAAATGAATGTGCTTAATATTTATCAAATTAATATTTACCAAAATATATTGTTTATGCTAAAGTTTAAATTAGGTCAAGTACCAAACCATTTTTTAAATAACTTTTTTATAAATAACGTTAATAAATATAACACAAGAGAAAAAGGAAACTTTATTACACCTTTCAAAAAAACAAAACTTTCCCAGCTCTCAATTTCATATCGGGGTCCTTATTTATACAACAAACTAGTAACTAAAAATAAATCAATTTGCAATCTAGATTCAATTTGCAATCAAAATTTCTTGAAAAAAAAGTTAAAAAATCTGATACTGAATCTAAACAGATACTCAGAATTCTTCTAAGACTATAAATTAAAATACATATATATCAACTACAAAGTGAACTGACTCGTTTATGTGTATTATCTAAATGACTCTTACTTTTCTCAAACAATATATCAAAAATTGTTTATTACACACAAAAAAAACACTTGATTTTTTCTTATCAAGTTTAGTTATTATGCTGCTAGTTATGTCTAATATTTTATACTGAGCTTATTTTGAGTTTATTTTTTGATATGAGCTAAATTTAAAGAATATATAAACATAGTTGTACTTAATATATAATTATATTTAACATAATCATAATAATATATCAAACACATTGTAAAGGCTTCGTGATAAGATCATTACGATCTTCTTGAAGTCCGGCCTGTACTATTTAATTATAAATTTCATTATATATTTTGACTCACGAGACTTGTAAATATTACTTTTAATTTACGAAACTTGTAAATGTTATATGTACGGCAAATATATGAATAAAAAAAAAAAAAAAAAAAAAAAAAATATCTTAAAATATCTTAGAACAATCAAATGTCTTAAAAGTTTATAAAAACTTGGGCCTGTTTGACGAACTCTTAAGTAATTTGATAATAACAAGCAACAAATTTAAGGCACAAGGAAATCTAAATAAAATGTTATAATAAAATAATTGCAACATTTTATTACAAGTTTTATTTGAGTTTTTACTTTTTATTTTTGCTTGAGATTTAACCGCGACCGAACCGCTGCTGGCGAATGCATACTTCTCATAATTAGGCGCCCTAGCAGACATTTTTATTTAAATTTGATGATTTCTTGTGTTGAAGTTTTCAGGGTTAGGGTTAGGGTTAGAGCATTTTTTTCCCTCTAAACTATAGGAGAACATTTTCTGAAATAATAGAGAACTTTTTCTCACGTAATAAAGAATTTTTTTTCTAAGCTAGTTAAGAGCCTTTTCTCCTTTAAAAAATTACTTTTCTAAATACTTTTACATTATATTTAAGTTATATTTGTTTATATATAAATCAATTTAGTATTTAAAATACTTACTTTAGACTCGTTCTATAAGTTTGCCGATTATTGACATTTGCAGCATTCGAAACGGATTTAAACAGATTAAACAACTTAAATTCTTAGAATTCTAAGAATCGTAAAATAGCGACGTGCTTTAAAAGTTAAAACTCTATACGGGGGTTGTTTTATTCAAACCGAATACGAATTCATCAGCAATATGAAACATAAATTGTACAGTTTTAATAAATTTAATCAATATTTTTAGTCAATCTTAATAAAAAAAACTTTATAAATCTTAGTAGTTATACAGCATATATCAAAATTATTCTTTGCCATGGCTATGCACATAATAAATTATGCACGGCAAGTTCTGCACGATACGAAGAAAAATATAAATAATCAAAATTCTAAGAACTGGGTGAATTAAACGGATAAGCGTAAGGGGTTGTTTTATCTAATCAAATAGAAACTTAATAAACTATTGAATTCTACAAACTTAATCTTACCGTTGATTAGTTTTTAATGTTAAGTGATAAAACAAATAAAAATAATAATCAAATGTAATTATATTTTTTTATTTTATTAGTTTATTTTCAAAAAATTCACTTTTAAAGTTGTACTTTTGATTTTACTTTACTTTATTTGATGTTGTTCAGAGTTTTCTACTACAGGTCTATTCATCAAAAAACCGGACTATAGGGGACTATTTTATAGGGGACTATTTTTCACCAGTTACAAAGAACTATTTTTCAACATTTAGACTTATTTTTGAAATAATAAAATTAAAGCAAATAATACTTTATTTAATTTCATATTAAATCTAACCATGGCAACAAATGCTTGCAATACTAAATATCGTGGCAAAAAATGCTTGCAATACTAAATATCAAAGTGAAAAATGCAAAACGTCAAGTAAAGCTAGTAAAGTATCAGTCTATTGATTTCAAATTGAATTACAACAATAATTAACGTGAAAAATGAATAAAAGTTGTTCCAAACTCTATTTTAGTTGTTACTAAGCGAACTGTTATCTGTGAGTTGCACTCGCCTTCAAGTTTTGAAACAGCTACAGTGAATTGAGAAAAAAAGCGCCGATCAAAAAATGCTCCATTTGTTTCGTTTGCAGTACTTTCATCTCCAACTGCTGGTCCAACTTTCATCTCCAACTGCTGGTCCAACTTTCATCTCCAACTGCTGATCCAACTTTCATCTCCAACTGCTAGTCCAACTTTCATCTCCAACTGCTGGTCCAACTTTCATCTTCAACTGCTGGTCCAAATCAAAGAACTTTCTTAAGATCTTTAAATAGCACTAAAAATAATAAGTTAAAGACATTTCTTAAAAAATTATTAACTATTAAAAAAATAAAAAAACTTTTTGTGGCATCAAAAACAAGTTTATCAATAAAAAAATATTTATAAATTGTTTATAAAGATAATTTATAAATAAAATTTATATCATTTATGATTGATGGTTACGTTGTTATATAATCTTTATTAATTTTTGTTTAATCTTTCCCGGTGGAAAATGAGTTAGCGACTAGCGAGCGACTAGCTAGCTTTATAGCGATTTTCAAGCGATTTTCAAGCGATTTTTTTTTCCTATTTTACTTTTTTCTAATGTCTTTAACATCTTTAAAAATTCGATATTTAATCTTGAGTCTATTATATTTATGAAGATAATTGAAATTTAAACATTGCGAATTTGTAGCAATATGTCGCTAGCTACATATCGTAGCTTTGTAGCTAGCTACAAATTATCTACAAATCTATAGCTGATTGATAGCTAAATATCAAAATTTTTAGACAATTTTATTACGATATGACGCTAGTTACAATAGCCAGTGGGTCTTTAGCTTATTAAGCTAGCAGTCCTCGTAGCCTAATCGCTTTCTTTATCTTTACAAATATCGATAGCTTTTCGCTAACTTAAAAGAGCTAGCGATCCTCGTGGCCAAATCGCTGTCTTTATCATTACAATCATAGCTAGCTATTCGCTAGCTGTTTTCCCATCGGGTTTTTTTTTTACTTAAAATGATGGCAACCTTAGTTTTGAAGCTTTCATTTTGGGTTTAAGGTTTTATGTTTCTAGCTTATTAATGATTTGTTTAATCAAATAATTGATAAATTGAATCTGTTGACGCCTGAGTTTTGTAAGATGCATAGATTTTTAAACTAAAAATCTATGAATCATAAAAATAGATACTAAAAACGAAGTAATTATGCAACATATTTAAGTTATGGGACCAAAATTAGTCCGAAAAACGTTATACATTTGGCATAGTTATGCACTCTTTTTTATACTTTCCAACATCGAGGGTTTTTCTCTCGTTCGTTTTACTTCAAAAGTGTCAAACATTAATTAAAACAAGTTATTAATTCAGATAAGTAGAAATGTATCATACCACATAATTAGCTTTAAATTAAAAAAAGTTTACTTCATCACGGTGAAACTATTTTTGGTGGATTAAAGGATATCTCAGTGGAGTTATAAAAATTATGTTAGGAATTATGGCTGTTTTTATAAATGGATATAAATCTCAAAGTGTTAGTTAAAATGATACTAACGTAAAAATTTTAAGTTGATTTTTTATTAGAACAGATTTAGTTTGACCAATCAAAAGATTTAGTTTGACCAATCAAACATTCAAATCAGTCAACATAAGATAGACGGTTAAAAAGCTTTTAAGAGATACTGCAACATGCATTATTCAAAATTTTTATAGCTTCGTAGATTTATATTAACAATTTTCTTGGAACAAAATTATATTCTTTTTGATCAATTTACATCAGATCACTTGGAAAAAGAATATTTTATACTTTGTTAAAGTTCTGGTGTTGCCAATTCAATAATTGTTTAACAGATCATTTAAAAGTCATTAAGCAAACATGATTCTTTACCTTTGAAATTAAATGTAGACACTTACAATTTTAATTTGGAATCTTGTCATCAATGTGCATTATGTCAATGAAATTTGTCTGAAAACTGTTGTAAATTTTTTAATAATTTGTAAAATATGGAACTCAGTGAGATTTAGCCAAAGATGTTAGAGTATCAACTGTTCACACTGCGATATTTATGTGTTACAATGTCACTAGTTTAAATTTCAATATTTATATGTTACAATAACACTTGTTTGTGTAACCATATGTTACACGAAATGATAATGAAAGAGTGGGTATGAACTCCTTGATCAAACAACATTCTATTATAAGAACCTGCATTGAAAGTATTAAAACATTCTTAGAAGTCTAATTGTCGTGTTATTATTATTTCTAAAAGTTTTATTTAGTTGTGTTCCTGTTTTCAGAATAGTATTTATTTTTCAAAATTACTAAAAATACTAATTTGATAACAGGAACACAACTAAATAAAACTTTTGGAAATATTAACAACATGACAAATAGACTTTTAAGAGTTTTTTAATATTTTCAATGCAGGTTCTTGGCCAAAATTTGAGGTGAGTACACACATTTGGGGTGGTAGAGGTACACACATTTGAAAAAATAATGATGCTCAGTATTATGCAACTATGTTCTTTCATATCAAATAAATAACCGTCAGATCATTAATAAATAACCGTCATATCAAATAAATAACCGTCAGATCATTAAAAGATTTTCTGCAGACTTTGATTATTTTAAAAATTATAAAACAAAAAATGTTCGCAAGAATTATCTGTTGGAACTTTTAATCCATCACAATCAACAAATTTAGAAAACTGACTATATTTCTGATAATAGAATGTTACCCACTTTTTCATTATCATTTCGTGTAACATAAGGTTACGTGAACAAGTGGTATTGTAACATATAAATATTGAAATTTAAACTAGGGACATTGTAACATATAAATATCGTAATTTGAACAGTTGATATTCTTTTTTTTTTTTTTTTTTTTTGTATGTATTTAGGTGCTCCCAGAAGTCCTTACGGTCTTATCATAGAGCACCGCGGGAGAGCATTTAACAAGAAGTTCACGCCTCCTTCCGTACCAAAGTCGCTTTTTGGGCTAGAGCTGGCGTCGAACCTCGAACTTCTGGGTTCTGAGCCAGAACTCTAACCACTGCGCCACGGCTACTCAAACAATTCTAACATCTTTGGAGTTCCAGATCTTGCAAATTATTAAAAATTTACAACAGTTTTCAGACAATTTAAAATTGTAAATGTTTACATTTAATTTCAAAGGTAAAGAATCATGTTTGATTAATGACTTTTAAATGATCCGTTGAACACTTATTGAATAGGTAACTCCAAAACTTTAACAAAGTATAACTTATTTTTTTTTCAAGTGATCTGATGTAAATTGATCAAAAAGAATATAATTTTGTTCCAAGAAAATTGTTAATATAAATCTACGAAGCTATAAAAATTTTGAATAATGCATGTTTGCGACGCGCAAGTTTGCGACGATAATGAACATTAAGATTAATATTACTTCATGTTAGTGAGTTTCTTCCATTAAGTTTTTTTCTTAATGGAAGAAAAAAATATATCATTTTTTTATTTGCTCAATTTTATTAAATCATACCTTTAAATGATAAAAATACAAATTTTTTGAATTTAAGTAACAGAAAGATATTTAGTATCGTTAAAATATATAAGTTTTTTACTATGCCCTATTATTATCTAAAAAGCAATTAAAAACCACCGGAGTTTTAGGGGCAATTTGAATAAAAAAGCCAAATTTCCCAACAAACGAAAAATCATCCAAAAGCTTGTTATAATAATATTAACTTTTTTTCAAATAATTACTAGCAATTTTCACCAAAAAACATCTTAATTCATAAAACTGCAGTAGATGTAAAAAGGGGGCCAGACCTAAGGAGGCGGGGGGTTTAACTTACTGAAGACCAATCTCGGAGAGTTTTTCTTAATGCCCTTTTTTTGGTTTTCTTAAATGGTTCAAACTTACCTAAGACCACCCATCTTAAAACTTTCGGCATTTTTATATAATAGCTATGTGAAAAGGGGTCTCAAGTTACGTTTTTTTTTTTTTTTTTGTATGTATGTATTTAGGTGCTCTCAGAAGTCCTTACAGTCTTATCATAGAACACCGCGGGATTGCATTTAACAGGAAGTTCACGCCTCCTTCCGTATCAATGTCGCTTGTTAGGCTAGAGATGGCGTCGAATCTCGGACCTTTGGGTTCTGAGCCAGAACTTTACAATACAATTACTTTACAGAAGTTACAATGTTCTAAGCTGATAAATGTTGCTGCTGTTGTACTATTATTTTTAGTTATAGAACGTTATAAAAAAAAGTAACAAACTGTTAGATATAGAAAACGTTTTGAAAAAATAGATTATGATTTACTACAAACCTGGAACAATGCTATACTATATACCACATGACGCTCTTGGATTTTTGGACTTTAAATATGCTTTGGTCAATGATAATCCAATAAATATTGGAAAACCAACAAAAGATGCTAAATATTATGCTATTGAAGCAGGTTAGGATTTGAATTAGATTGGTTACAAGAGTATCACATTCCCGATGTTATGTTAATATAAATGAAGCGATGAAGATAAACGTCCAAGATTGGTTAACAAACCACCAGCTAGCAGCGATGATCATGGTTTTTTATATTACGAACCTCTAACATTAAACTGGGTTCTATACAGCCTCTTCAACAAGTTGGTCAGATTACTTTTAAATTTAATGGTTATGATGAAGCACCTGTTAATTATGCTTAAGCTGTTTTAATTTTTGGTATCTGGGTTAGTTGTAGTTGTGTTTTAATTTTTTTAATTAAACAATAAAAACAAATAATATAATATTAGTACTGGAAAAGAGTAAAGTTCGATTATATCCAGTGCTCCTAAAGATTAATGAAGGGTTTTCAACTTTTGCTTCTTCTTTAGAAAATGTTTCGCTTCAGCCAATATCAAACATACCTTCGACTTAGCGATTCCAAACAGCTTTATAGACGAATTTTGAAAAAAGAATGTTTTTCGTAAAAAAATTTCAAAACGCCTATATATTTCGTAGGGACTGGCGTTGGAGCTCCTGTAAGCATGAGACTTGCTGGATGTAGGATTATTTAAACTTTATTCATCTTGATTTTAAAAAAGGTACAACAGCAGCAGCAAACCCTGCTGCATTTATACTTTTTAAGACGAGCTAAAAATATTTTCTAGCAATCGTTTTCAGATTGAACTAATTTTCTTATTGTCTCGGGAAGTGCTGGCATTGGGGCCAGCATAGGTTTAGGTGCTGTTTTTATTATTTTTAGAAGAGGTAACTCTCCTCTTTTTTTTTGCATGAAAAAATATACAACTGTTGATATTTTTTTCTCCTGTGATTTTTACTTAGTTGAGAGAGTAGAACCTGATGCTTTTCTTTCCGTTTAGCAGCGGCGACTTTTCTTGCGAGTATTTTTTTTTCACATTTCATTTTAGGATTAGGTGTTTCTTCTAAAATTATATATAAAGATTTTGGTAATACTTAATTGAGAAATTGCTAACAATTGCTTACATTTTTTAGAAATAATTACCATTTGTTTAGAATTGCTTCACTCTTTTAGTTAGTTTGTGTTTCAATAATCAGTATGCAATCACCAGTTATTAAAGGTTGTAAAGCTAATGAAAGAAAATAAAACTTTGATTCATTTAAGGTAACCCCTTGCTGAAGCACTGGTTATTATCAAAATCAGCTCTTAAACATTCATGATCTGGGGATCATAAAGGTTTAAGAGCTGATCTTGATAATTGGAAAAAATATTTTTACAAAATTTGTATAAGTTATTGTTGCCATTTTTGAAACCCCTGTACCCATACTTTTACCCATCCGCATTGTACACTTGTTATATAGTAAAACTATTTCATTAGCTGTTACATTATTGAGCTCTTGGTGAGTCAGCCTTCTTCCGAGAAGTTTTTCTCTTGAAACACAAGCTGCTAGCCTTGATATATCCTCTTTTTCTGGCTCAGATGTGTTTTCCATTTCTTCATCACCGACTAACTCTTCAAAAATTTACTCCATCATACAATTTTTAATATATTTAAAAAAAAATTTTCTCCAAATAAATTTAAAAACTATGCATAGTGTAAGAATACTTAACAAAACTGAATTTATTATTGTTAGAATCATAGTACAATCTTTTTATGCGTATGAGAATGCAGAAGAAAAAGGCAGAGAAGACAGCAGCGTAAATAATAAAGATGTTTTGTTATTGCTTTTACTTAAGTATCACTTACAAGTTAACCATTTTCTCCTATAATCATTTTTTAGCTTAACTGATCTTTTAGTAGTAATATGCTGATGCAACTAAGTTTGTCTCAAATAACCAGGGGTATCCCTGTATACCATTGAGCAAGAAGCCACAACGCGTAATTTACGTGGCGGCCTGATATGGTAAGCTTTGCTAGCTAATCATTTTCAGAAATACAGTTGTCTACAATAAAAATGCGCTCGACTCCTTCCATAACTTTGCTGATAAGTTCTAGAATACATTGAACGCTACATTGATCAATCCAAAAAAAGGTGCGACATGGAACCTTTAATTGTAAACTATTGCCTCATTAATTTTAAAAGTTTTATTGTAGTCAATAGTTAAGCATATTAAAAATATTAAAGCGGGTGGTCTTCTTTCTAGAAGGTGAAGCCTAATAAAAGGGGAAACAAATTCTGTTTTACAAGAATTTTTTTCCCCCTTTTATTAATAAACGTCTTTCAATATTATGCGTTGCTATATTAAAGAAAAATATTGTATATTATACATTTGTTTTAATGCAAAACTCAAGTCCGCCTCCAGCGTCCATTCCTAACATTAACCAAGATATGTAGTTTGCCGAGATGTTTAAAAAGAGCAATTTTAATTTTGTTCACCAGTTTTGCATTGATTACACTGTATCAGAATAGTGGTTAAAAAGCGTTGACTTCTTCAAACCGAGCAGTGGTATAACAATTGCTTAATACCAGTCTCTCGAAAAAATTCTTGGAGTAACATTTAACTCCTATTCGGAGTAATATGTTTTATATAATACAATAAAAAATTGTAATATCTGAACTAAACAGACAAACTATGACAACTCCAGGAAAAACAACAACTATTGTCTCTGCTAAAGAAAGTAGCAATCTAGATCCTTTTAAAAAACAGGCTGCACGTGTAATATATCACAGCGTTGTTGTAGGAGCTGGAACTGTTGCAGCCGCCGTTATCTTTAAAAAATTAAAGGTTGCAAAATGGACTGAGGTCAATTCCAAATAGCGTGATATTGGAAATTTTTTGTCTTTAAAAAAAAAAAAAAAAGATAAAAAAGTTATCCCTCTGCAACCCGGCCGGATGTAGCGTAAAGTTAATATTTTTCTTTTTCATTTATTTGTATTTTTTTAATAAACACGAATTGGTTTGCCGGGTATATAATTGACAATATATTATATAATATAATTGCTTTTATCTAATTGAGCATTGATGCTGCAAGCCCGCATGTACCAAGAAAGTTACTTACTAAAGCATAGTCTCTAATTAATGCAATAGCATTAGGGGAAACGTAATTAAAAATTGGTTCAGGTTGAGGTAATACTATAGCAGGATCCACGTTTAATATGCATTTATAACAGTGCTTATTTCAGTTTGATTTCCAGGCTATACAACAAGTGCTGCATTATTCAGCCCTAAGCAAGTATTTACTGCTGCTTGCCACGCTTAATGGGCTGTGTTAAATTGTTGTTCAAGCAAATATTTTCTATCGAACTCAGCTTTAACTAAATTTAAAAATCAAAAGTTTATTACTGCTTGAGTCATCGCGAGAAGTTTTTCCTGCTCTTATATACACATCATAGTAAAATTTCTTACTGATAAAAATGCAAGTGGGATTATACAGTCATTGCCTTGGTTATAAGAAAAAAACAAAGAGAAATTTTTTCTTACCTTTATAGCGTAGACCACCAATGGGACTGATACACCTGTCTTGCGGTAAAAGATGGAGTGCATGATGATATTAAAAAATCGGTTGATGAATGCGGCTGTTTTAAAGTTTACATCTGGGTAGCTGAAGCAGTTGATTAAGAAAAACATTCAGTTGCAGAAGATCTTATTGAACACGGGTGCCCCTGTTGATAAAGATTACATTTAAGCTACGGAAGCTGTGGAAAAAAATGATGTAAACTCCTTAAGAGCTTTTATATTATTTTATAAGAGTTAATGCTGCCATTCAATAAATTTTAGCTCCGAACCTGGATTTAACAAGCAAATATATTAAAGGATATATCAAGTTTGATTGGATATATTTTTCACTACGCTTATTAAAAATTTTATTTTAAACTGAATTGTTTATTTTGTAATGTTTATTTTGTAATAAATATTTAATCTTATTGTTGGGTAATTATAATTAGGCATATATGAAACAAGTTCTATTGTTTGTTTTTTTTTATATTTATCTCTTACATAAAATTGTCTTCTATCAATATCCTTGAGGGCTATAGTTTTACTATAACTTTAAAGAATATTGGAAAAGGTTTGCAGCAATTAAAAAGCTTGGAGCAGCTGCAAACGTTTCTTAAAAGTATGCTAATGGATGGCTTAAAAACAAGCAATATAGCAAATTTATCTCCTCCCACCTATTTACATACCAAGAGTATAATAAATGAAAGTAAACCTAAAAATGTTCACCAAACTGATTTGCTCAACTTACCTCAAAGGGCTATTTGCAAAACTTTTTGGTCGCTGATATGCTCAGGAATTGTTAATGTCTTTTTTTTTCAGTTTTACTTGCTGTAGTTAAAACAATGTCACTCGTTTGCTAAGTGAAAAACCAAATAATGCAATTAATTGATAAAAACAACTTTAGCTCTATCAATGCTGGTTGTACCAGAACTCATACATAAGGTGTTTGCTGAGATTTAAAACAGCCTGTCCAACATACATCCGCCGTTTCAACTTTATTTTAGATTTTTTGCTGTAAATAGCAGCAAGATCACTATCAAATATTGTTATTTCCTAAATATTCTGGATGTACTGGCATAAAAAAGTTTTTAATCACACCCCTCTCCTCCTCTTAACTAGATGGTTTAGATCCGCTTCTGGGATACACTACATAGTTTTAACCATTGGTTAAATCTCTATAGTGTATTCCAGATCTTCGTTGAGTAAAGGCTAGAGATGGTGTCTGGATTAAAATACTCATTTTGGGCAGATGTTGACTGCATCTTACTTACTGTCTTGTAGGAGACCTCTTAGGTAAAGACTTTAGGGGTATCAGAATAATTCTGCTAAACAGCCTCGAACCCCTTTTTAATCTATTAGGCTCGCGTAAATGTAAACTTTTGACTCTTCTTATAGATATTTTTTTGTGGCTATGCAACTCTTCCTGTTATCTCCTAATAAGGGTACAGTTCTAAAACTCAGTTTAATGGTTCTGAGACCGGCTGTTAGTAAGGTTTTCCGAATTCTGTGGTTGCTTTCAGAGAGGCTTATTCCATCAACAGCTGCAAAATATTAGAGCATTGACCATGCCCTCTCTCATTACACCTTGCTCTATAACTCTATTCGTTTTTTCTAGTAACTCCCAACTTAATAATGGTTGCTGGCAGCCTTGTTGGGAGTGAATCAGAACACACAAAAAAAAATTCAAATAGAATTACGTTATTTTAAAAGCAAGTGTTAGTTTAAGCTTCTTTTTTACCTTCGAATAACACAATATTTGATTAAAACGACAACTAAAACAATTTTTAAAAAATCAAAAATGTTATCTAAATTACTAAAGCTTAAAGTTTCATTAGTCGTTTATCATAATTCCATTCATGCTTGTAATACTCCATGAAGTTTAAGAAAAAGTTGTTATTTTCCAAAATACTCTATTTTTAAACGTACCTATATGCGTCAAAGTCACTGATCTCAAAATATAACTGGATAGCGTATACGGCAAATTTTCTGAAGCCAGTTTTGGCCTCCCAAGATAGCGGCGTATTTAGTTGATTACAAATTTAGAAAAATTTGTTTCGAATTTTTATATTTTTTTAATATAAAAATAAGTGTACAAGCCTCAAACAAAAATGCAATTTTCGGTTTTCAAAACTCAAACAAAAATGCAATTTTCGGTATATATGTTTTGTTTAACAATACTCTTAACAATCTACTTAAACAATATTACTTATAAATATTATACTCTTATAGTATCACAATATATATTACTAATACATATATCACAATATATATTACTAATAAATGTTATACTCAAACAATATATATTGTAATAAATATTATATTTTTAACAATTTACTTAAACAATAAGTTTGTGGAATATCTATTTGAAATTTTTTATTTTTTTTAATTTAATTAAATAAGATAATATATTTTAGTTAAATTAATTAAAAATAAGTTTATTTAAGATTAGTAAAAAATTATACCTATAATCTAGTAGTTAACTACTGGGTTCCACTAATATTTTATAAGTAGTTATAACCTATCAGTAGAAATAAAAAACAAATATGAACCTAGTAGTTATCCAATTTAAAAATTTCCAGAGAACTTTCTAATAATTATTTTAAATGTGAAAAACTGAAATAATTTTAATCGTTTTTTATTTATATTTTATTTATTTTCTTTTAATTTTAGTTTTACAATAAATTAATTGTTTGTTATTGTTTTTTCTACAAATTTATGGACCTTTTAGTTCTTAACTACCCAATGCTGTGTGCTAGAAGATTAATAATACAACTGCATGGTAGCAGTGGCGGATTGAGGTTTAATATCGCGGGGGGGGGGGGGCCAAGTCAATGAATAGGGGCGACCGGGGTTGTCTTCTGTAATTTGATCTTATAATTTATTTTTTTTGATTGTTTTGGGGGCGCCGTTAGACCGTTCTAGGGGGGCGTGGGGGCAGCTCTTTTTTTACTCAGTGGAGATATATGTTTTAATTGCCAATGAAATATCAAATGAAACCAATTTTTAGACTAGACAAATTCATTTGTGTAACAGTTAGTCTCTTTAAGAGC